AGGGCGAGGGGGAGGATGCGGACGAGGCAGCTCGCGAGGCGGAGGCGCTGCTCGAGGCCACGCGCGAGGGCAAGGCGCTCAAGGAGGCACCGTGGGCGGCAGTCGAGAAAGGAGACGCTGGCCGCCTCGAGGCGTGGATCGCCGACGGCGGCAACGCGGACCAGCGGTGGACCTGCGCGGGACGGACCCACAACATCACTCTGCTGATGCTTGCCTCCAAGTACGGCCACCTCGACCTCGTTCGCCTGCTGCTTCGGAGCGGCGCCTCGGCTGCGGCCCGGGCCAGCAGTGGCGTGACGGCGCTGTCGATAGCAGCGAGCAACGGCTCATCCGAGATCGTGAGCCTGCTTCTGGCCGCGACGCCGCCCCCTCTCCGCATGGACATCGAGTCGGCGCTCAAGGACGCCGTGTCCGGTTCTGGCCGCGACCTTTCTGATCCCGTGGTGATCGCCTTTATGAAGGCGGGCATCGTGAGTATCGATTTTGTCTGGCGGATTCTTGGACGGGCGGACGGCAAGGCGGCGATGGCGGTCGATTTGTGGCTCAAGCGCGGCGTCGACGTGAACATGTGGATGACGCCCTATGCCGGGGAGGGCCGCAAGCCCTGGCGCAGCTCATACACGCTGCTCATGCTGGCGTGTATCCGCGGCACACCCGAGGTTGTGAAGCTCTTGCTCGAGCGCGGCGCCGCGGCTAGCCTGCAGGACAGCGAATACTCGAGCCCGCTCGCGCTGGCTGTGACGCACTGCGAGGAGCGGGAGGACGCGGAAGTAGTGCACTTGGTTCTGGCTGCGGACCCCAGCCACGACGACATCTTTGATGCCGGCTGGCAGGCGACACGGGCAGGAGCAAGCCCGTCCGGAGTCGAGGCGCTGATCGAGGGCGGCTTGAACGTGAACGCTGTCTTGACTACATCGCAGTGCGGTCGCGACAGCGACGGGATGAGCTCCACGCTTCTCATCATGGCCGCGAGCCGCAACGCAGCCATCGCGAGCTTCCTGCTGCGGCACGGCGCCTCGGTCGCAGTACGAAACCGCAGTGGTGAGACAGCCTTGATGACGGCCGTCATGTACGACCAACCCGACATCGTTCGCCTCTTCATCCTCGCTGGGGCGGCGAGCGGCGAGGACGGTGCCGCCTCGCTGCGTGAGGCCGAGTGGCGTGGCCTGACCGAGGTAGCAGAGCTATTGTCTCAGGCAGTGCGCGAGAACGACCTCTTGTTCCAGGCCGCGTACACCGGCGACTGCGCGACGGTGCTCAAGCTCCTCGGCGGCAGCGGCATGGCAGTGGACGCGCCCCGCGCCAACGGAATGTCGCTGCTGATGGTCGCGGCCAGCACGGGCCACGCTCGCCTGGTCGCGGTGTTGCTGCGGCGCGGTGCTATCGTCGACCTCCAAGACCACAACGGGTGCACCGCTCTGATGCTGGCCGCCAGCAGCCAAGACTGCGCCGGCATCGTCGGCCAGCTGCTTGCCGCCGGCGCAACCTTTGCGCTGCGCAACGCGGAAGGCATGACGGCGCCGCAGCTGGCGAAGCAGGCAGGCCACACTCGTGTCGTGGGCGTCTTCAAGTCGCACATCGCACGCGCTCTCGCCACACCCGAGGCCGCTCCGGCAAGCGCGGAGGCTGAGGCCACCGCAATCGCCGAGGAGAGCCGTGTGTCGGCAGAGGAGCAGGCGTGGTCCGAGGGCCAGGCGGCGGCCGCTGCTGCATCGACGGCGGCGGCGGAAGCGGCAGGCGAAGCGGCCGCCGCAGCTGAGCGAGCAGCGATGCCAGACGCCATTGCAGTTGCAGCTGAGCGTGGCGAGAAGAAGGCGGTGGTGGCGTGGCTCGACGCCGGCGGGTGCCTCGATGCTCTTGCTGCGGGCGGCTTCACGCTGCTAATGATTTCCGCGCACGCAGGCCGCCAGCAGGTAGTCGACTCGCTGCTGCAGCGCGGCGCGTCGGTCAACCTGACGAGCAAACACGGCGGAGGCGCGCTCGTGTTTGCTGTTATGATGGGCCACGCCAGTATCGCGCGCCGCCTGTTGCGGGCGGGCGCTGATCCAGAGCAGAAGTGGGACGGCGATACCGCCTTGCAGCTGGCCAAGGAGAGGGGCGCCGCCACGTGCGTCACCGTCATTGAGAAGCACCTGGCCGCCGAGCTGGCGGCGAAGGCGGCGGCGGCGGCGGCCGATCTGGCGGCGAAGGAGAAGGAGGCGGCGCGGCATGCGAAGGAGCTGCTGGCGGAGGTCGAGGCGGAGCGCTGCAAGGGCAAGAAGAGCAAGAAGAAGAAGAAGAAGGGCGGCGGGGGCGGCACGGCTGGGCCGCCGCAGGAGGCCGCGACTGCGGAGACCGCTGCCGTCGGGCCCGAGCCGCTTGGGCTTCTCAAAGAGCTCGACACGGAGAGGATTCGGCACAGCGTCGGGGAGGAGCCGACGGCGGCCGAGGCGTCGGAGGAGGGAGCGGAGAAGGGAGCGACGGCGGAGGCGGCCACGGCCGCAGTGGCGGCGGAGGCGTCGCCGAAGGAGGTGGCGGCGCTTGGGGCGACAGAGGCGGAGCCGGCAGTCGAAGAGGAGGAGAGCCGCGGGGCGGCAGAGGAGCTGGCGAGGTCGGAGGTGTCGGCTGCAGCTGAGGTGGCCGAGGCGGCAGCCAAGGCAGAGGAGGAGGAGGCAGCGGCAAAGGCAGAAGAAGAGGCAGAGGCGGAGGCCAAGGCGGAGGCGGCGAAGGCGGCGGCAGAGCAGGCGGCGGCGGCCGAGGCGGCGAGGGTGGCAGCGGCAGAGCAGGCGGCGGCCGCAGAGAAGGCCCGCCTCGAGGATCAGGCTGCTGCCGAGGCGGTTGCTGCATCGGCGGAGAAGGCTGCAGGCGGAGCGGCGAGCGAAGCGGCAGCTGCGGAGCGAGCGGCAATGCTAGAAGCCATGCTCGAAGTCATTATCGACGCTGCTAGTTGCGGCGACAAGAAGAGGGTGATGGCGTGGCTCGACGCCGGCGGGCGCATCGATGCTCGTGCTGCTGGCGGCCTCACGTTGCTAATGGTTGCCGCCATATGCGGCCAGCTGCGGCTTGTCGAGTCGCTGCTGCAGCGCGGGGCATCGGTCAACCTGACGAGGAATAGCGGCGGACCAGGCGCGCTGCTTATGGCTGTCGTGAACGACCACGCCAGCGTCGCACGCTGCTTGCTGCGGGCGGGCGCTGATCCAGAGCTGAAGTGGGGCGCTCGCGACCATAACGCCTTGCAACTGGCCAAGAAGTTGGGGTACGCCACGTGCGTCAGCGTCATTGAGGAGCACTTGGAGGCCGAGCTGGCGGCAAAGGAGGCGGCGGCGGCGGCCGAGCTGGCGGCGAAGGCGGCGGCGGCGGCGGCCGAGCAGGCTGCGAAGGAGGTGGAGGCGGCGCGGCATGCGAAGGAGCTGCTGGCGGAGATCGAGGCGGAGGAGCGCTGCAAGGGCAAGAAGAGCAAGAAGAAGAAGAACAAGGGCGGTGAGACCGGCACGACTGGGCCGCCGCAGGAGCAGGAGGAGGCCACGGTGGCGGCGGAGGCGGCGCCGAAGGAGGTGCCGCTCGAGGGGAGGCGGCGCCCGCGACGGCGCTCATGAGGAGGTGACGGAGAGGCGGAGGCGGCAGTCGAAGAGGCTGCTCCCGTCGCCCCGCCTCTCGAGGCCAAGGCTCGGGCGCCAAGGCGGCGCGCGGGAGGTGGGATGGCGCGGCTGTGCACACACACGGGAACTGAGAACAGCTTACTGTTACTGAGAGGAGAGTGAGAGCGACCAAGACGCGCGCACACACGGACACACACACCTGACACACACGCGGATCATTTACGTCACGACACACGAGCCGGTACCGACGACCATGGCACCGACGCAAATTCTCGTACGGTACGTGTAACTCGCTCACGCTCTTTTACTGCTCTGCAGCACAGATTCCATTTGGAAAAGCGAACGCGAACGAAACGGTCGCGGTGACCAGCGGTGCGACGAGCAGCATTGTCGTCCGCATGCGGTTATTGGGGAAACAAACAGGTTGCGCAATCAATGTAAAACAGCCAGCACCGTGTTTCATCACCTTCTGTGCCTCTTGCTTGAACACGCTTGCATCTGGAACGAAGCCGAGCAGCTTCCTCCGAACTGCTGGAAAGAATTCACTCCTCGGATGCTTCATCAAGATGCGGATGGCGGCGAGGGCGACGCCGATCCAAGCGACGAGAGAGAGCGCACATTTTCGTGATGTCGGCGGCAGCTTTGATGACTCCGAGGAGTTGCGACTTCGCCTCCGCCAGCATATCAGCGTATTGCTCACAGTCCAATGGTCCTGTCACCTGAGTCTCAAGCGCCTCAATCTTCCTGAGCGACGCTTCCAGCTTTGCACGCTTCTGTTGAGGCATGGCGCATGCCCTTGCTGTGTGCTTGCATCTGTTGCGCCCAGGTCTTCAAAGCCTTGAGCTCAGGCATCGATTCCTTGAGCTGTGCAAAGGTTGACCGCACGTGACGCCCGAAGGGCATAGATGATGATGAAGCTAGCCGGCATGCCAGGCCGTTTGGATCTGCGGCGTCAAAATACGCGCTTTGGTCAAAAACGCGGACGCAAACAACCCTTTTCCTGGCTCACAAGCTAAAGATGTTCACGGGCCCCCACAGGGAGCCCCGGGTACTCTTTAGCTGTACTCGTCTAGGCAGGGGTTGGACGCAAACGCGGACGGAGCTCCTCCGGTCCCAGGAGCTGCCGGCCGCCGACGCCGACATTGTTGTGGAGCCGGCGGAGAGAACAGGCTTGTCCAGCTTTGAAGAGCGCCGCGCCGAGGTCCGGAGGACCATTTCTCTGTCTTGCGCACTGACGCCGTGTAGCAACAACAAACAACGCGGAGACCACACGCTGATCGCGGCCACCTTCATGGCGTGTCAAGAGGTCACAGGTCAATGTTCGCGCGGGCGCTTTGCGTTACCGTGAGAGCTGTTGGTAATCGACACACGCAGATTTTTTCTTCGACGGACTTTTCCAGGTCTTCGGTCTTGTAGACGCGACTTTGCCGATGTATCGCGTCGGCCTCTGCCTGGCGCTGCTGCCCGCCACAGCGAGCCTGTCCGTCGCCGTGTCCCAGCAAGGCTGTGCCAGCCGTCCTCGGCTGCGGAGCCACGCGATCACCGCCAGCCTCGCAGACGAACCCGGTGCTTTGCCTCGCGCTCGGCTGGCCCTGCTCGGCACCAGTGCTTTGTGGAGCACCTATCCAACCTTTGCGAAGCTCATCTTCGCCGCCGACGGCGTCGCCCTCACGCCCACCGCAATCACCGCCGTCCGCTTCGCCATCATGGCGATAGCAGGCCAGTTCATCCTCGCCCAGCAGCCGGCGAGTAGCAGCTTAGGAGCAGCGGACAGCAGCAGTGGCGGCGGTGCGAACGGGGGTGCGAACGGCAGTGGCGGCGGTGAGGGCGTCGGCTTTTGGATAGCCGCCACGGAGCTCGGCATGTGGGGCTGCGCGGGCACGCAGCTCAACTCGATGGCTCTGCTGCAGCTGTCGGCCGTGCGCGGAACGCTGCTCCTCGCCAGCGTCAACATCCTCACGCCGCTCCTCCAGGCGTGCATCGGCTCGAGCGACGAGCAGCGCCGGGTCGCCCCGCGCACCTGGGCCGCCTGCGCACTCGCCCTCGCCAGCACCGCGTTCGCAGTACAGAGCGGCGGCGCGGCGGGCGGCGCGGCGGCCTTCTCCTCGGCCGACGCGTCGAAGCTCACGGCCGCCCTGTGCTACGCGCTCCAAAAGGTGCGGCTCAGCACCTTTGCCCAGACCTATCCGGCGGCCAGGCTCGCTGCGGGCCGCCTCCGGACGCAGGCCGCCGCCGCCTGCTCCTCGGAGCCTGGGGCGAACGCGACTTACTGTTGAGCAGCTCGGAGCCCAATAGGCCGCCATCGTGCTGCTCGGCCTGGGCGGCGCGGCGCTTGTGGGCGGCTTGCCAGAGGCGGCGGTGTCGGCCGACCTCTTCGGCAGCCTCGCCGGGTACGGCGCAGCCTCCCTCTCCTCCGTCGCGAGGTGGGCGGCGCAGCTGTCGCCGACGCAGGCCCTCCCGCCCCTCCCGCCCTCCCTACGCCTTCCACGCGTGAGCAGCGCCTCCCCCACCCCCACCCCCAAGCAGGCTCTCCTCCTAACGCTCTCCGCCCTCGTGCCGGGCGCCTTTGCAACGATCCTCCAGGCCGAGGGGCAAAAGGTGGTCCCCGCCGCATCCGCCCAGCCCATCTTCGCCTCGATGCCGCTCTTCGCCGCCGGCTGGGCGTGCCTCCTGCTGCACGAGCCCATCTCGGCGCAGCAGGCGATCGGCGGAGCCGGCACGTGCGCCGCGGCGCTGCTCGCCGCCGCCGCGCCGGGCGGCGGCCGCGCCGGCGACAGCGCAGCGGCGACGGCGGCGGTGCCGGAGGAGGCGGCTGACGGCGCAGCTCGCGGTGTGGTCGTGCCGACCCGAGCCGCCGCGCTAGCCGCCGCGCGGGGCGAGCCGGTGCCAGGCGAGGCCCGTGAGAAGGTCGCCTCTGCGCGGATGCGGCGGCGATAGCTCAGGCGCGGCGCCCTCCTGACAGGCCGCCTTCGCTTGATCTTGATCTTGTCGTTTTGTGATGTCTTTTTACGTACACACGGGGTTTTAGCTTTCGATTGTGTTCGAGCGTCCCAGCCCGCTCAAACAGCAGTACACACGCGGCTCTAAAATCTAAGAAGTGTGTGGAGAGTCACGTGTGGTCGCTCGCGTCGCCGCGGCTCGACTTTCTTTCAACGCCATGGCCCCGGCTCTCGGTCTCGCTCTAATTCTCCCCACCTCCCCACGAGCTTCTCGGATCTCGCCCGCGCGCGCGTGCGCGTGTTATAAAAAGAAATGGCAACGTCGCGAGACTACCCGAGGCCCACAGACCCGACCCCATCGAATGTCAAAACCAAATCGTCTTTCCTGCATCCGTCTCGCGACTCGCTCGCCCCACTGTGCGGCTGGGTGAGGGGAGAAGACGGTGTGTGTGCCTCCGAGGATAAGGCGCGTCGCGAGCTCCGGCGCGCCGTCACGCGGCGCTCACGGCGTCCGCCTCTGACTCGGCAGGCTCCGATGTGTCGGGGATCCAAGCGCCGCGGCACGTCTCGCCCAGCTTGCCGAGCGACGCCTCGAGGCTCTGCCGGTCAGCCTTTTGCAGCGGCCGCTGGTCGACCGCGGCGCGCATCGCTTGCCGCCACGCGTCGAGGGTCTCCTGGGGCGGCTGCACGCCGAGCCTGCGCCGGGGAGAGGGGGAGGGAGTGCAGGGAGGAGTCGGCCTCAAGCAGGGGGGTGGGGACCGCGGATGTGCGGCTGCAGCTCCTCCAATCTCGGTGCCATCTCGACGGCATCTCGGCGGCATCTCGGCGGCATCTCGGCGGCTCGCGCGCCTGGCGTGCGCCCAGACCAGCGTGACGAGCTGCCGCGAGGAGAAGCGCGGCAGGCAAGTGTGCGGCAGCGCGCGCGTGGCAAGAGCGGCGAGGAGCTCTTTGGCCTGCGAGGGGGAGGTTCCGGGAAGGTTCGGGGATAGGCCCGAGCCAAACCTCGACCGAGGTGCGCAGTCCCGTCTTGCCTGCTGCGGCTCGCACGAGCCCTCGCCAGCGGTGCCCATCACCTAACGCGCCGATCGCGAGTCATCGCCTCGCAGGGGCCGCCCTCCCTCCCTTCCCTCCCCGCTCTCTCTCTGCCTCCCTCGTCGATGTCTCTCTCTCTGAGTGTGAGTGTGTGAGCGTGCGCGTGCGCGTGTGCGTGTGCGTGCGCGTGTGCGTGCGGGCCAAGTCACCGCCGTGGCGTAGGCCAAGTCGGACACCTCGACCGGCTTGCACTCGTCGAGCAGCCCCGACTCCAGCCGCGCAGCAACCACGGGCAGCAGCTCCGCGCTCGGCTGGCGCAGCTTCGCAAAGCCCCAGAGCAGGTTGGCGCAGTTCTGAGGCGAGAGCTCCCTCGACACGGCGCACGCCTAGATGAGTTCACCAGCCCAGCCATCCGCCACCAAGCGCTGGTTCGAAGCGAGTTTGAGCTCGCCACGCCGCCGCGCCTGCCGGTCGAGGTCCTCGAGGAAGTGTCTAGGAAGTGTCTAGGAAGTGTCTAGGAAGTGTCTAGGAAGTGTCTAGGAAGTGTCTAGGAAGTGTCTAGGAAGTGTCTAGGAAGTGAGTCCCGCGCCTGCCGGTCGATGTCCTCGAGCAGCCGGACCGGCTTGCACCTGCGCAGAGGCAAGAGGCAGGGCCAGGCTGGCACGCCCAAGTGTCGGGGCGGCGCTGCGGGCGGCGCTGCGGGCGGCGCGCACTCGAGCGTTGCAAATGCCCAGCTCATCACAGAGAGATGGTGGGGCTCAAAGGTTTGCCTGCCGGGGCGCGGGGTGCGGCAGGGCAAGGGTCGGGGTGCGGGCGAGAGAAGGCGCGAGCGGTGCATGTGCCGAGGCGCGCTGGCGGAGGGGTGTGCCGAGGCGCGCGCGCAGCACAGTCACCTCTCCAGGTGGTAGACCACCCTCAACAGCAGAGGCTTGAGGAGGAGCGGAGGCCAGTGCCGCAGCGTGGCGCACGACCAGAGCACGTCGGCGGTCTGCCGCGCGTTGAACTCGGCGGCCCGGCCGACCACCGAGTCGAGCAGCGCCTCGAACCGCGGGTCGCGCAGCAGCACGTCCCGCTCCGCCCGCCGCTTCTTCTCGAGCGTCGCGAGCCGGTGCATGGCGGTCGCCACGTTGACCGCGTTCATCAGCTTGGCCGACTCGGTGGTGAGCGCGAGGACGGCGTCCCTGCCGGAAGCTTCGACCAGCCGCTGGTTGATGGCGCCGCAGCGCGACGCCGCCACGGCGTCCACGAGTGCGCCGATCGGGCCGCCAACAGGCTCGGGCTGCACCGCCGACGGCTCGCCGGCCCCGGCGCAGCGGGGCGCCGCCGCCACGCGCGGGAGCGCGAGGGCCGCCGGCGCGCGGGGCGACGGCAGAAGCAGGCCGAGCCAGAGCGAGACCATCGGAGCGGAGCAGCGACTGCGAATGTAGCGTTAGAGACGACTCTCTTTCTCCCAACTGTGAACAGTCGTTATCTGTATATGCGCAGCTATTCATAGCCGCGCCTGTTGTTTGTGTGTGTATCCGCGCTCTTGGCGCGATTACGAGACTGACTAGTGTGTCGCACTAGTTGTACTTTTCGTAATAGTATTCCGCATTCATTGCGAGGGCGGACCACTCCTAGCGTGCAGACCGCGGGAGCTGGTGCCGCGGCCAGTGTAGACCTGGCCTGCGCTGTGACGCGCGCGCTCATCTTCAACGTGGAGCCAGCTGAGGGGTAACTACGTAGCATGTCTAGCAACAACCGTGACAAAGACATGCCGTCCGTCATCCAATGGGATGGGACATCTGGCCTTCCTTTCAAGGAGTGGAGAAGGGCAATTCTCGACACTGGTGCGGAGCGGACCGACGAATCCGGCTCCAGCGTCGCGGATGTCTTCGCTGGTGCGGACATGGGAGGAACCGCCGTCGGCGCTCCACCTCTGCCTGCTGGCGCTGCACAGCACGCACAGAAGATGCAGGCCCTGCACCGCACCCGCCGCAAGCAGGCCTACGCCCTCCTGGTCAAGAACATATCTTGCAAGGACATCAAGTTCCACCTTCGCGAGAATTTCTTCCAGCAGGGGGAGCAGGCGTGGCAGTACCTTTGCTCAATTGGGGACATGGAGCCGCAGCGCTCTGATGTCCGTGCGCACGATGCGGCGTGGGCAAAGATCAGCATCTGCGCCGACATTGGCATCAGTGGGTTCACTGTCACCAAGCTCCACAGCCACATTCGCCGCGTCAACGCCGAGCGCCCGCCTACTCACCGCCACGACGAGAGCGAGATCGCTGTTCGGCTCCTCGAGTGTATCAACGAGAACTCAAAGCTTTTCGGAGCCGAGAGCCTCTCCGAGATCAATAGCACCGGGCCTCACAACGGGTACTTCTGGATTGCTGGCACCGCTGCAGGCGTCGGTGGAGTCCCTCCTGCAGTCCCTGCCCGACGTGACCTCGCCAGACTCGTCGCGCACTATTCCACCCACTGGAAGAACGCGTTTGAGAACGGCCACCTCGGCCCGGAGCAGCTGCCGACCGCCAGTGGGAGGCGGGCCTCCTCTCAGAGCGTCGGGCTGTCAACCGAGGCGAAGGCTGCTGCCATGCAAGTCGAGGCCATGCAAATGGAGCACATCCGTGCCATTGTCCCGCGTGGCGCCGTCACCACCACCGCCTTCGGTTTCTTCGGCGGCGCTAACGTCGACCAGTACGATTGCCCAGTCGTCCGTGACAGTGGCGCAAGCGACGATATCATCTACCTCGAGGATGGAAACGCTGTCGAGTCCGTCGAGATCGTCTGCCACAACTGCCGGGGCATCGGACACCCCGGACGCATGTGCCCTTCCGCCAAAAAGAACCGGTCGTTCGATTACGCGATCGCCCTTCTCGAGACGAGCAAGGCGCGGGCCGACGCCAACTCGAGGCGGGCCGGGGAACCGTCCGGCGGCCGGCGCAGCTTTCAGCGCGGACAAAGGCCACCGTTCCGCACCGGACGGCAGCCAGTCGGCCGCTCCTCCGCGCCTCGCGGCCCGCCTACCGCCGACGCCCACGCCACCGGAGAGCTCGACGGAGAGCTCGCCGCAGAGCGCGCCGTCGCCGCTGCCGCCACCGCAGAAGCCGCCGCTGCCGCCGCCGAGGCAGCCGCCGCTGCCGCCACTGCCGCTGGCCGCGAGGAGGTTGCCGGAGCCGCTGTCGGAGCTGACGTCGTCAATGACAACGCCGACATCGTCCCCGACCTCAACAACTTTGCCGTCAACGACTTCTTCGACGACGAGCTCGGCTACGCCGCCGTCGTAGGCACCGAGCCCTGCGAAGTCGTCGCCACCGCCATCGCTGCCGTCCCCAGCACTGGGTTCCTCGCCACCACTACCAGCTCTGGCCGCTGGTTTTTTGCCGTCGTGACTGCCGCTATCTGCGCTACTTGCTGTTGGCTCGCCAACTGCGTCCGGCTCGACAAGATCGCCGACGCTGCTGTCAAGGCCTCCGACGCCGTCACCTCCGTCGTCTTCTCGCAGAGCGCAGCACTCGTCATTGGCTTCGCCCTCATCGTTCTCGGTGGCCGGCCTGCTCTCCCCGCTCTTGTTACGTCGGGAGGCGCTGCCGCCGCCGCCACCATCGACAATGACGGCCAGGTCATCCAGCTCTACGACATCCAGCCCGGCGGCGTGTACCGCGAGCTGCGACAGGGAGTTGACTATTCCTTTCCTGTCGACGTCTGCGAACCTGGCGGCATTCGTGGGAGGCTTGGACAGACAGTCGAGTACGTCCACTCCGCCATCAAGGCCGACAGTGACGTACGGATGCCCGATATCACTGTCGACAGTGGCGCGAGCCTCACCCTCGTCCCCGAGCATCTCTCGTACCTGATCACCGAGAATGGCAGCGTCAAGAGCACCGGCGTCAAGGTGGCTAGCGACGCTGTCTTGAAGATCACCAAGAGTGGATCCGCCGTGCTTCCGTCCGCCATCGGCTTCACCATCGACAGCGATGGGAAGCGCGCCCCCGTCGTCGGCGAC